AAGAGTGTATTTCTTATTGCTGTTTGCTTTTAAAATTAATGTGGGCTCCTGTATCTCCATAGGAATACTACTCATTTAATACAATAGCACACTGTGCTGCCGTGAGCTATTTGCTCACAAGTAACAGTGTTTATAAGTGACCCTAAATAGTTGCTTTCCTTTCTCTCTGAGATGTTTTCAACAACTTGTCTGTATAACAGGATTAAACATTAATTCTGGGAAGCCCTCTGGTGTCATTTATAATGCTGTGCTCTTGCTTTTTGTAGGATGGAGGTGTCCGTACATTACCAGTTCCAGTGAAAAACCAACAAGATATTGAAATATATGCTCCCATAGTTCTTTCCCCCAGCATTTTGACGTTTCCTTGGCAGCCCAAAGCAGGAGTCTACCAGTACACCATACAGGTATGCTGAAGAAGTTTCTACATGCAGGAAGTATTCCTCAAGCAGGCACAGAGAAGCCTATAACCGCTTCTGCAGAGTTGGCTTTGGATACTTCAGGCACAGTGATAACTAAAACTTTATCTGGAGGAATTGTGTTTTATGTTAGTTACATGACTCAATGTCTACTTTGAAAAAAGCACCCAAGAAACCAACAAACAAAAACCCCACTGACTTTCACCTCTTGTCTTTCATTCACTTCCATTCTCCTTCGTGCATGTGCTGCACACAGACACACAGAGTGGTTTGGAATTACAGAAAACATCTTGGGTACAAAACCTCCTAGTAATAACTAGAGGCCGCTATTTACTGTAAATGGATGCAAGTATGGGTGAAGTGACTGCAGAAAGGGCATAACAAGATGAAAGAGCAGCGCCCTTTCAACCTGTGACATCAGTATCCTTCACTTGCCACACATCTCATGCTTCTAGTGAAGAGTTAGGGAGGCAGAGATCACAGCTTCATTTACAGTGTGCCTTTCTAAAGGGACTTTTGTCTTACATTTCTTATGTGTGTCTTTGCTCCCATGGTGCAAATCCTTGCATATGCTTCAGGAGTATAATCTGGCTGGAGAAAAGAGCGTTGTGCTTCGCGGCCCAGGCTGTTATCCCAGTATAATTATACCCGGACCCTGCACTCAGCTGTTTTCATGCACAGTTCCCACCTCTCCCTTTTAGCACATAGTGCTGAGTTTTGGGTCTGTCTTCAAGTAAGCGGGATACAAAAAGAGGCAGCAGGACACCTGGTGTCTGAAGTGAAGTGAATCTCATAGGGATAAAGTTGCATTCTTTAGTGTAAATCTGGAGTTAAGGCCAGTGAGTTCAGTGCTGTCATCTGTACTTTCTGTGGGATGAGAGTTTGGTTCAGTTCATGCTATACCCAGCCACACCAGCAGAGTGTGGTGAAAATTCTAAGTACATAACCACATTTTCAGTACTTTATCATAACTGCTGCTCAAGTTTTAAGGGAAGGTAAATGTGTTTTCCTGTTTCCCACCTCTTCTACAATTCTAGTCTTGTCTCACCTTATCTCACGTATATCATATCTCACTAGAGAACATTGTGTTACACCAGAAATTTCATCAGGATTCTTACTTTACGGTGATGTTTTTCATTGAAAACATGGGTTTTTATCCCAACATTTACATTAGTTTGTGTTTACTGAAGCTGAGAACGTTTTCCCACTCTGCTGGTTCAACACTAGTGCTTGCTCAAAGTAGCACGCAGTCTGACTGCTGATAGGCTGCTGTGTGCCTCCTACTTGACAGCTCTTGAGTCAGGCTATTTTAAATTGGTGAATAGACTTTTTTTTCTGAAAATAAGTCAAAAGAGATTTTTGGATCTAGCCCAGTTCTGTTTATAGCTGAAGTAACTCCTTCCAGATGGTGTCAGAATGACTTTCAGGTTTTACTTTATCAGCTGTTTTTTCTTTTTCGTTGGTTGCTTTGTTCATATTTGTGCTAATAAGATGGCTTCTGTTGCAAGTAAAAAAGGAAAGAAAAAAATAATTAAAGGACATTTCCTTCCTGCCTTTCTTCCTTCCCTACATTAGAGAAGTGTCATCTTTGAGAAATTAAGTATGTGGAGGTTATTTTTTCCTAGTGAGGGCATCACTGTCACTGGTAGCAGTTTGTGGAGTGGAATTCAGCTAACAGGCTTTGGATACTTTGGGTGATGATTAGACTGAATAGAAGCTGGTTTACCCTTTCTCTCCACAGTGCAGAGTGAATGCTAGAGAGAAAAATGTAGTAATGAATGCCTCTGATTTGTGTGGCAATGAGATGTGACTCCATAGAATTATTAGCAGTTGGGTATTTCTATTTGAAGTTTTCTGCTCATGTCCCTGTTTTAATTGAAAATATCCTTACAAAACATTCTGAAATTTTACATTCTTTAAACATTTCTCACCTCATCCGGTGCATCTCCTTCTGTCACATATAGTTACCCCTTTATCTACTGTGTTGTCTGCTCATTCTGTCATCAGGCTGTGCACATGCTCATGGGAAGGAGAAAGGGAAATGACTGTCCTGATATTTCCCTCCTCTCCTCACCAGGTAAAAGTTATTAGCTGAACTCCTGCATAATTTAGATTTATTTTCCACACCATCCTTCTGGACAAGATTTATCATCTTGTTCAGTTTTACTTTAATTAGGAAGTGGTTAAAGCACATGCTGAGGAAGTCAGAGAAATGAAAACAATACATGTAAACATTTTATTGCTCCCATGTTCACCCTTGTCTTACTCTGATGGAACTTTGAAATCTGTTTTGGAGTGTGAAAGTCCTTTTTAATTCTTTAAACTTGCTTTGAAAATGCATTGTTCTCAGTATACATCTCTGCACCATATTTGTCTCAACAGATACTTCCTATAGCTCCCAATAATGATGTTTAAAACCTCTACATTTTGCAGCATTGCGATGATTATGTTTCTTCAGTCACTAGTATTGCACATTGAGGAGGACAGTACTCTGCTTGTGTGGGCAAAATGGGTTTTTTTGCCCTTCACGTCATAAAATGTGAACCTGTCACGGATATTATCTCATCCTGGCTGCTGAGTGCTCATACAGTGGGTAGTATAATTTGCCTCTATTAATGTGGACTTTCAGATCAACTAACTAGTTTTTATCCTTTTGTAGTATAATTACACTCACTTAAGCTCTTCCAATTGTGAAACAGCTCTGCAAGAGTTGGGAGCTCTAGGGAGAGGCTGGGGCTTGCTTTTCTTCTTGTTTTGGGGTTTTGTTAAGGGAATCTGCATGATAACCCTGAGCTCATAAGTTTGGCAGTTATGGAGTCCTTCCTTGCCAAGCTGGTGTGGAAGTGTAGCCTGTCTGTGTTGCAGACTTTCGCAGTGCTAACAGCAAGAGTTGGCAGTTTCTGTACATGCCTGTCTCTCATTCCATGGCTGATCATTGCTGGAGCAAGATGGTCTTTGAATAGCTGCAAGTAGAGATGCTGATTTTCAGCATAAAAATGAAGATGTAAAGCCAAGAAGAGAATGACTTCTTTTTCTTTTTCCCTCCTCTCACCTCATTCCCTCCCCTGCCTCCCACCTTCTTTCCTCTTATCCCTTAATAGTCCCCATTGAAAGAGATGAGTAGGTACAGTGTCAGCTTAGCAGCTCTGAGCCCCCAAATCAGCACTTTGGCTGTCAGAAACAGAGGAACAGTGGGAGTTTCCAGCAGTACAATGACCCCATGTGCCAGGCCTCTGATGTGCTGATTTGGGAAATGCTCTGCTGACTCAGAGCACTGTCAATCACAGGGAGTTGTGAGCTTCAGACTTCTGCAGCTGGGAGAGAGATATCTGAGTTAGCAGCACTGGTGAGCACAGAGGCTATGTGCATGAAGAAAGCTGAAATTAAACTGAATGAAGGGTAATAATCTTTTCATCTCTTAGTTCACCTTGCTTATTTAAAAGTTCTGAGGTGTTATTTTGTTTGTACTTCCTCAGTAACAGCACTATTGTTGCTCAGTGTGTCCCTGGTTTTCATGCAAGATATTCAAAGTCTTGACAGCTAAGGAACGTGAGAACCATGTACTTCATAAAATACTTGAAAGATTTCTCTCTGTGTTCTAGGCTCATGGTGGAAGTGGAAATTTCAGCTGGACCTATTCTAACCAGGCAGTTGCTACAGTGAGTGCCAAAGGAGTAATGACAACTGGAAGTGATACTGGCATCAGTGTTATTCGGGCAACTGATGTTCAGAATTCGATGCATCACGGAGAAATGAAGGTAAAATTCTTCTTTTCCCTGGTCACTCTTCAACATGGCTTTTGGAAACAGTGAAGAAACTGACAATGCCATAGGCATTCCCCTTTCCAGAATGTTCCTGAGAGATTTCCCTGCCTGCCTATGGCAGGCTCAGTCATCAGTTTCAGAGTTTGTGCCTGGAGGATTCAGGCTTTCTGCACTGTAGTAACTTTACTCCCAGATTTGCCCTTCCTGATTTCCTTGATGAGTCTTTTTTTCTTGTTGAAAACTGAGTGCAAGAAGGAAATAGTAATTTACTACTGGCCTGGCCAAACTAACAATGCATTCTACAGGGTAAGAGGTGGGTGTTTTCCCTTTAATATAAAAGGATGACAAATACTATCAAGATGTGCAAGGGTGTTCCTGCCTGGAGAAGAGGCTGAAATGAAAACAATGCCACTTAGTGAATCTAGCTACCAAAGCTGGCCAAGAGAAAAGGAATGTTTTCAGGGAAAATAGGAGAGAATGGGAATGGAAAACACATCTCCCAGGAGGGATTTTGTGGTCTCTATGCGAGCCATACCCTGTTCTGATGGTCTGGTCAGGGTGATCAGTGTGTGGTATAGAATGAAGAAAATACAGGAATAGTGTATATAATGACCTCACAGGGAAGAGTGTGCAAAGGCAGGTGAAGAAGTTGCTCTGGTTAAGACACTAAATCTACAATCTTACATAGTTTTCTCTAGAATCTTACTGATTTGGAAGTATCTCCTTGTGTCCTTTGGACACAAATATTTTTCCTTAATGAAACTGTGTCAGTGCTTACTCTGTCAAGCTGTTAAGAACTGCCAGACCTGTAATATCACAGAATAGAAACTAAGTAGTACTACTGTGATGTATGTTTGCTACTGTGAAGTAGGAGTACTCTGCTGCCTTCACAAACTGAGGCATTTTAATCTGTGCTTTGACCCTGTGCATTTTGCAAAGACCTAAGCATTGGAGTAGAAACCAGACACGGAATCATAGAATCCCAGACTGGTTTGGGTTGGAAGGGACCTTAAAGCTCATCCAGCTCCACCCCCCTGTCACGGGCAGGGACACCTTCCACTAGAGCAGGTTGCTCCAAGCCCCTGTGTCCAACCTGGCCTTGAACACTGCCAGGGATGGGGCAGCCACAGCTTCTCTGGGCACCCTGTGCCAGCGCCTCAGCACCCTCCCAGTGAGAGGAAACTTGCTTCTGACCTCAGCAAAGCCAAGTGATGGTGTCCTGAGCACGTGCGTCTCACCTGGGAGCCAGCAGCTGTGTGTGTCTGACTGCATGGTCATGAGTGAAATTGGAGTGTTTATGCCGAGCGGATGCTGTTGAGGCTGGCAAACAACCTCCCTCTGGCTGAGGCTTTAGGAAGGTGACGCTCTTTGTTTCTGAGGGAGCAGAGAAGCTGATTTTTAGGAAGCGTGTCTCGCGAGCCCTGGGGCAGCTCACCTTCCTTCCAGGATACATGCCTGTAATTTAGCAGCTGATGAGGAACGAGTGGGTTGCATCAAATATGCACACATTAACTATACAAAATACCTCCTCATGTTCAAGCACTCCCATGTGCAGCACTGCTGTCGTTGTACTGAACTGCTGTGGCACCAAAGTCCCTTTTGACAAAAGTGTTAAAAGATGTGTTTGGTCAAGGCTGCCAAGTCTGTCCCATAATGAAGGGAGTGCTATGGAAGCAGGTATCTCCTCGATTTTTAATTAACTGTGTTTTGGGAAAGATATTTCTAACCAAATTTTACTTGAAACAGCTGCATCTACTAATGCTGGAGCTTTTGAGGGGCAGATTAGCTTAGGTATTGTGCTCAGTTCTACAAACTGGATTTGGGAGGTACTAAACTTCATGCTTAAAATAACAGACACTTAAAATAATGAGACAAATTGAAGTTTGTGTGGAATTTAGTTTACAGGCTTGCTCTGGAGTTATTCTCTGGACAGCCCAGGATGCTGCTTTTTAAGTCTGACAGTTACCAGCTACCAGGAATGACGATTTTTCAGTGAAAACTTCTTATCCTCAAACAGAAGTCAAAGCCTGAAGACAGAAAAAGGCTTCTCTCCATGTAAGCTTTCAGAGCAGTGTATTGCACAATCTGAATAGGTTATTTTTGAATGCCTTTGTGCTTGTGTTAGGATTTGCATTCTTTGTAGACTAACTGCAGAGTTCCATTTACTGACCTCAGTGAGCGGGTCTTTGGAATAGTTCACTATGTTGCACAAGAATTACAGATTTAACTCTCTACCATATGGTTCAGTAGTCTATCCTGAAGCTATTTGCAGATGGTTAGGAAGTTAAGATATTGCAAGTGAAAAGCTTTGATCGTGATGGTACAAAATACGCAGTTGGACTGTGGTGGATTCTATATTATTAATGGAAAAGCAGCAAATTGGAATACAAATGATACAGTGAAGGCTTGTTCAGCATACCAGCTGTATCAGCATGGAAGATCTATTTCTCCTGGTCTTATTTCTGAAAGTAATCCTTTTGGTTTCAACAGTATGACTCACATTTAGATTAGGCAGTAGATGTTTCTTCACTTATTTTAGATTTCTGACATATTACTGTGGGGGAACATGGAGCCCTGGGCACCTTTAAACATGTTTTGCAACAGAAATACAACAAAGAGAGAGGGGGAAAAAAAAAAGCTATTGAGGCAATGGTCTAGTGGAAGGTGTCCCTGCCCGTGGGAGGGGGCTGGAACTGGATGAACTTTAAGGTCCCTTCCAACTCAAAACAGGATTCTGTGAAGTGTTTGAGTCATTAGTTCCAGTAACCTCTGCAGACCTGCTGCTGTGAGTGGTGGGGCTGGAAGTCTTGCGAACTCCCTCAGGTCTAGCCCAAACAGGCTGCAGAAGTCCAAGTTGGGTCCTAGATCCGTCCCAGTTGGTTACAGTGCCTCCTGAGATACCATACCACTTAGCCCACACTTCAACAAAGCAGAAGAGAGAATTAAAGAAGTAGCAGTGAAAGGATCACCAAGCTAATGTCCTGGCCCTTTCTGAGATCTTCCTGCAGCAGGTAAACACAAAAGCAATGCTGAATCTGAGCAGGATTGTTCCCAGCCATCGCAGGGAGGTCAGCAGTAGGGATAATTAAAATAAGGAGAGCATGAAGAAGTCTATTTTTTTCCCCTGGCACCTTTTTGTGGGGTTGTGTTCATACATCTGTCCTGTGTTTCTTTCCTCCTTCAGGTGTACGTAACTGAACCTAGTGGGATGGAGTTCACACCATGTCAAGTTGAAGCATATGTTGGCCAAATATTGGAGCTGCCCCTGAAGATCAGTGGCCTGATGGATGTTGAAAAGGGTGAGATAGTCCCGCTGAGTGACTGCTCACACTTCGATCTAGCTGTGGAAGTAGAAAACCGTGGTGTGTTCCGGCCTCTTCAAGGTGAGCTCACCTCCTCCTTGTTTGAAAGTTAAAGTAAGATGTTACGAAGTCACACACCTCCTTTGAATCCCTGTTTCAATTGCTGTGTAAGCATTCCCACAGAGGGGCTTACCTGCAGAGGTGGGGATCAGAGTAGTTTTCTTTCACGGGTGTATTTACATTTTTTATGCAGAACTTCCCTTGGGTATTTTTGATGTTTTGGGCAACTCTGAAAGCATTTTGGCAATTATTTTATTGGATAATGTGTAATCTCCCATATGTCTTTGTACTGATTTAGTATTTTTAACATGCTTCTGTAATAGAGCTGATGGGTTTTCTCATAAGAGGGGTCCATGTATATTGTGTTTTGAGGTAGCACTGGAAGACCTACAAGAACACTAAGATTAATAACTGCTTTGCCCAAATTGTCCAGCAGTACTTTCAGTGCTAGAAAGACACTGTTCATTCCTTGCTCACAAGAAATTAAGACAATCAGCTGCTTAAATTTTGCCAAAGCTCTGTCATTGTTCAGCTCATGGCTTTAAGAACTGTTTCTTGTCAGGTTTATTAAGAGTATGGAGTGTGCATGTGATATTTAAAGATTGCCATTAATGCTCCTGGGGTAAGTGGACACTGAGCAACGTGCTTGTTCCTGTGTCTGCTGGATTCAATACGCTATTCAGGTGTACCATGAGTTTTTTCCAAGTGTCTCTTGTATGGAAGCTCTTCCCTGTGCTATTGAGCCAGTAAAACTAGTCTGCACTGGACCATCTGTTTGCCTGAGAGGCAGCTATTGGAAACATCACTATTATAGCATGCTGTTGTTCTGTTTATTTTGAAAAAAGAAACAGGCCTCTCCCAAACCCCAGAAATGGCCTTTTAAGTAAGCAGAGGAACTTCATGAAAATACTTTACTTTCACCTGGAGAAATGACCTGTTGCCTACAGTTCAAGTTGTTCTGTACAAGAAAGCTGGTCTAAGCAGTGTGGCTTATTTGTGCTTCATTACAAGCCAGTCTCACTTTAGAACATTAGGATGGAAATACTCAGAAGTTATGTTGGTTTGTACCACAGTAAAGACTCATGTCTTGTTTGGGACAGTGTGAAAATAAAGAAGTTTGAGAGACATGGATGCTTCAGTAAGTGTCGGGTTTGAGATGAAAGACAGTAGTGAACATCCTTACCCTGTTTGGTTGGAGAACAGATCTCTGCTGACTTCTGGTGGAAATGCTTTTGTGGAGAGAAGCCACGGTGGACTTGTGTTAAAATGCTTGGGCACTTCCCTCCAGATATGTATTGATGTATTTTTAATTTATCTGACAGGAAAGCTTAAGCCAACTGCTGATTTTTGTAGTGGAGTCAGGGTGAAAGCTGAAGCTCAAGGATACACAACACTTACTGTCAGCTATGCCCATGGTCACGTCCACCTCAGTGCCAGCATCACCATTGCTGCTTATCTACCATTAAAAGTAAGTCTTGTTTCACGGTTCCTAAAGCAATCCATCACTTAAAATGCTTTCAGATGACAAATAGCAAGTTGATATTATGTAATGAGTGTGTTTAAAAACCTGAGGGGGGAAAAATTTTATAGACTGTTTTGAGGAATTGTGTTTTAACCCTTTCTCAGTGGAGCATATATACAGTTGAGTTTGACTACATGGACACTGCAAGCCAGCTGTAGAGGACAGAGTTGTGTGATAGCAAACTCACAGGTTCCTCTGAAGTGGAAAATGAGTTTGTTATCATTGATCAGTTTTCAGACTTCTGGCAAAAGAGTCACAGTTGCTGTCATCTGAAGAAACATGCAGGGTAGCAATAGGAGCCAACCTCATCTGAGTGAGGATGTGAATCTTGTTCTGCACAGCACACCTGAATTACTAAATTCCTTTTCAGCAGACTCTAGATGAGTGAAAAATTATGTGACTCAAATAATTTGTTTCTTGACTGACAATTTGAACTGATTAACAATTGGCTTAGTAAGGTGATGAGGGGGCAGTCACAATTCTGTGTCCGTGATGGCAAAAGGAAGCAGGCCTGCCTTATGATTTCTGCTTTCATAGTAGAAACCTAATTTTTTGCATGAAGGCAAAGTTGGCTTGCCTGTATGGCTGTGAAAATACGAATAGAGAAAGTTATTTCACTGTTGGACAGTTCACTAGAGCAAACAGGAAGAACCAACCTTGAGTACAGGGTCAACATACGGAAACATGAGACAATTTGCTTATTGTTACCCTTATCTTCAGAGACCTAGCACTGAATATGCAGAGCTGAACTCTTAATACACTTGGCCATAGCTTCCCCCCCAAACCTGGGACAAAAGTTTGTGCATATCATACACATTTGTGACTGTAAAGATGATTTTGCTTTTTCAGTATGCTTTTCTATCAAATATTTTAGATAGCTGAGTATAATTATTTGAATTATTATAATTATTGATGCTGAGACATCCTAAACTTTCTGTTATTGGCAGCAATGTGAGGGGCAGGCATAGTCCCTTTAATTAGGAATTTTTCATAGGTAGGGCCTCATTCACATTTATTGGCAAAGCTCCTTGAGGTGTTGTAACACTGCTTGCCAGGTATAAAGTGAAATAATTCTGGGTACGTGACAGAGCCAGGACATGATGACAGGGAGGGGGTAGATTAAGTGCACTTAAAAAAAATTATAAAAAATCTTTCCCCTCCTTTCTGCAGAATGGAATGTTTATGATGCCCAGAAATGGGAGGCAGCATCTTTCCATCAGAGAGCTACTTAAAACCATAATATTACAACATAACAAGTGGGAGAAGGATGAGCAGGAGTGAAAGGGCAGGCAGACTCTTGAGACTAAATCTGATAGTTTTTACCTTTATATTACAAATAGAACCAGGAGTAAATGGGATAAGAGTGTTTTATGCCAGCCCTTTCATCTCTCTCTTCCTACCAAAATGTACCTAGGGAATGATTTGAACCATCCTGTATTTTAGCTGCTGTTTCCTTCTTACTAAACACCTAAGTAACATGATGATGTGGAACACAAGCTACAAATGGTTATGGTGTATTAAACTGTCAAGTTAACTTTTGTGATGATAAACAGCACCGTCTGTCCTGGTGATACACATCAATGTGGAATTTGTTGTAGAGGTTTCAGGAAAAAACTTGTGTCGGAGAATAACGACAAGGACAGAACTGCCAGAGAAAGTACTGTTAAGTGAAATTAAACCTTGACATTATTTTGTTCATTTAAAGTACTGCCTACATAGAAAATGTAGTAGAATACTGAGTGTGCTGGGAAGAGTAGATTAAGGGTCTTTCTCTTGCTATAATTCTTCATGAAGAGGTTGCGATTGGATCTGCAGGTTCCATTGAATGTGATCCAACTGAGCAGAATAGCTGTAGGTGATGCTGGTTATTTTGGTACAACTGTTCTTAAATAAGCATGCTTACAGAGCACAGTGTGGGAAAACTGGTAGCCTAATCAGAGTAACAAAGGTAGCTTGTCCATTAAGAAGGAAGTTTCTCTTGCAAAGTACAACCAAGGTGTATGTAAGTAGAATAATTAATTTGTAATTAATTCATTCATTACAGGCTGTTGATCCTCCAACTGTTGCTTTAGTGACTTTGGGTTCCTCTAAAGATATGTTATTTGAAGGAGGACCTAGAGCATGGGTACAAGAACCTTCAAAGTTCTTCAGGAATGTCACCGCTGAGGATGCAGAAAGTGTTGGTCTGTCTTTATCTGGACCTCCTACATCTCGAAATAACATCCAGCATTGGGTTAGAGTGTCTTGCAAAAGCCTGGGGGAACAAGTAAGTGCTGGAAGGTATCTGTATTGCCTTCCATCAAGCTGAGTCAACTGGGAGCAGGCTTCAGGCAGATTTATGATACCATATACCTTTTATATCACAAGTAGTTCTTATAATAAGGCGGTGAAGAACCTGGGTAAGTACATTGTTTATGCAGATTTTAGAGTGAACATTTCATAACATTATGTTATAAAGTGGTTTATGGTGGGTTTATTGCAATATAAAGCCAAGTCACAGAAACCTTATGTTGTAGAACGCATTAAACATCCTAATAAGTGCAGTTTCAGTTTGCATAAATAAGATCATAGCAGAAGGTTTCTGTAGTAAACTGACTACTGCCTGCCCTGCTCCTCTTAACCAAGTTACCTTCCAGTGTAATGCTGTTTATTCAGGCAAACGACAGCCATATGAATTTACTGCTGTGATATTTGTGCAGTCATCATGGTAGTGGCTGTAGTCATTTTCCACCTGGTCTTGTTTTCTCTGACATACAGAAATGATTTATCCTGCTTTACTCGCCCAGGCCAGTCTATAAAGCATTTAGCTTTGATTTAATGTTTTTTCTCCTGTAATTCTGCAAGGCCTAAGTGTTTTGGTGTGGCTGCCAAATTGCTTAACTGATTTCCCCAGTGGACACTGTACAAAGTGTAGCTACTTCTGTAAGTGCAAATTTTGAGTGCGTGGCTTTGGCTCATACCAGTGCATGAGTGGGTAAGGCAGGTAAAGGAGCTACCTCAGCCTTCTGAGATGGGCTTCTCTGTGCTTTTAGCCACTTTGTTTTGCTGAGGGCTGAAAAAGGAATGTAAATTAAACAGCAGATATATTTAAACCCACTGAGGTGACTATAAATATTGTCTTTGGGCTGCTGTATGCTCACTTCTTTGAGAAAAACACCTGCCTGTTAGCTTTTTAAGTTACAAAAGATGTGTTGTTTGGATGAAGTTTGATAATAATAAACATGAATACCTAGAAGTTCACAGGAGTAAAACTTGTGATTTGGTAATGGTATAGAACTGTTCTTGAAATATGCACCTCCTTTTACATCTTCCTGTGTCCTAATGGTGCTGTAAATTCCCAAAAGTCCAAATTTTGCTTGCTTGTTCTGAGATCAGTGAAATAGAACATGCCTGAACTCAGTAGTCTTTTCTCCTTCCTCACTTGCCTGTTTTCATACTTGCACAGGTTATTGTCTTAAAGGTTGGAAACAACCCCACAATCACCAACCCTTTTCCAGTGGTTGGGTCTTCTGGAGTGAAGTTCATCTGTGCTGTCCCTTCCCGGCTCACTTTGACTGCTGTTTATGGAAGTCCTCAGCTTGATCTCTCCTGCCCCTTGCTGCAACAGAACAAGCAAGTGGTAAGCCTGAGAGGGGACAGGAAAAGAGTGTATTCTTGTAACTTAAAAAGCAGTGTTTGGACCTCCCCATACAGAATTAGCATCTGATTGCTGCAAGAGTAGCAGTAACTAGTGTTGTGGGCTACACTGTCTGCTCTGGCAGAGAGCAGGCTGAATGGGGGCTTCCTATTCGGTCAGGTTTATAAAGGGAACTACCAGAAAATAGGAGCATATGTAAAAGCATTTGGATGGTGGCTTCTTACAAAAGCGGCACTGTGAGGAGGCCCTTCTTAATGAAAAAGAAATTTATCTCAGGAAAAGTTTCTGTTTCTAGGGAAAGTTACTTTTCTCTGTACCACTCCATTCTGATAGTAACTTTCTGCTGAGTAGAGACGTATTTTATCATATATGTATTGTTACACAAGTGTACATTTGTGGGTATGATTAGCAAAGGCACAAACGCTGCTGATGTGAAGATACTTGTGTAAGCCTGTGCAGCAAGTATTGTTCCATAACATCAAATGTATTCAGCTTTGCAAGTCTGAGTCACAATAAATGCATGATGCATATGTGTAAATTGTTGAGCAGAAAGAACTTTCTTCTGTACCCTGATGAGTGCTGGCACACGTTGGCTGCTGAGTAAACCTTCTGTTTTGTCATGTTGATGTTACCAAGCAAATCTTAAAGCCACCCTACTTTCATAAAGCTGCATGTGTTGAATCGCTGTTGGTGAATCATTTAAGTAACTTCTATGTAATGACAAGATGAGGAGGAGACTTTTGTGTATTGTACGTCACTTCAGAGCTCTAGTTCCGCTGTGTGTTAGACTACATGTAGTTAGACTACATCAGTACACTGGTATTGCTAATGGATTTCACAAGGTGAACACTGGAATTTTGAGCTATGTCTTCTGACAAATAGTGGTGGTTTTCATTATCTGTTGAAGGTCCAAAGACAATGTAGTTGAACTGAGTCCTTCCATTTTTGTTTTAAGGTAATTCACTGGCTAAAGAAATTCCCACCCCAGAAAAAAACCCTGGCAGTTGAAGCACAGCTTAATGACTTTGCATTAATGACTCATTTTAATGACCATTACTCATGTAATGAATGTCACAATAGATCTCATGGAATTTGGCATACATTAAAAAAATATTCTAACGATTGAAAAAATCCTTTCGTATCTGTTCAGGTGAAAGTATTCGTTCTTTTTCAGGTTCCTGTTTCAAATTATCGCCATCCAGTACTGGATTTGGCTGCATATGACCAACAGGGCAGTACGTTTGATAACTTCAGCTCTCTCAGTGTTACCTGGGAATCATCAAAACCATCCTTAGCTAATATTGAGCCTGATATGCCGATGGAGCTGACTCTGAAAGAAGATGGAAGTGGTCAAAAGAAAATGCATGGTACGAATTAGTTAAACACAAATGTTCCTTGATTTGAAGAAGGTCAGGATTAAATCTATTTGATAATGTCTGAACTTGATCAAAGAAACTAATATAATCTGCAGTCATATTTCAGCTTATCCTCAACATGCGTTTTAAGAATGCGCTCTTTAGGGGAAAAGAAAAGGCGGGGGTGGGGGTCAGGGAGAAAAAAACAAACCCAACACCTAGAACTTGCCTTCAGAGAGAACATCTTTGTGTAGAATGGTAGTGGAAGAGATTAGCAGTGTATGTTTCACCTTTTTCTTCCCCATAATCAGATTTCTTTGACTTTTTGTTTGATTCTAGGCTTACAAACTGTTGCAGTTCATCACGAGTCTGGAACAGCCACCATCTCTGTAGCTGCAGCAGGATACCAGCAAGCCCATCTCCAGGCAGCAAAAGTCAAAACATCGGTACCCAGAACTCTGTTTGCTATTGGCATTTTCCTCTGATGCTTAATGCAGGGTGTCCCTATGGATTTATTTTCTCAGTGCATAGTAATGTAAAAATAAGGCAGCTCCATAGCTGATTCTGAAGACAGATCCATGCCACGAGGTTTCTGTGGTGTTCCTGCTCTCCTCTGCACTATGTGCTGCTGTTCATAGCAAAAACATTCAATTCCTTTTTCTTTTTCTTTTTTTTTTTCTTTTCTCAGACCAACTGGGCAAGAGGATTACAAAGAATTGTTTCAATTGGTTTTGTATCAAATTAGGTTTTTTAACAGAGAGTGGTGAATCTCTGCTGCTTGTCCTTCACCAAAGCAGCCATGTGCTTAGTGCAGCTGTCACTGGGGAAAGTAAATGTATTCTTTTCACTGCAAAACTGGGTAGAAAAGTTCTGCATGAGCAAAGCAAACGCTGGCTGATATCCTGATGGACCATAAGTAGAATCTGGGCTCTGACTAATACTCTTTTTTTCCCTTGGTCTCATGTTGATATTGTAGAAGAGAGAGACAACTGTTTTGTACAGTGCCAGCCCTGAGCCTAGGCTCCACTTCTACGAGTCATTAGCCGCTCCCGGGAATACTTGAGTTTGTAGGTACTCAGCATAGGGAAGTACAACAGCAACAAGTAGTGATGATGAAAAAGAAGGCAGATGTAAACAGATGGCAATTTTCTATTTGGCTCACTTCTTTTAATTGAATATAAATACACGTTTCAGCCTGTGGAACAACCTGATGTGTAAAGTAACTAACTCTTCACCTGTCCTGCTCTGCTACATTGAAACTCTGTTTAATTTGGTTAAGCAGGATTTAAGTGGGTTTTGACTATATGTGGTTCTAAATCATGAGCCATGAAAATAGAGTTGAGACAAAGAGTAAAATATGGAGCTAGAGGTTACAGTATTTTTAATTCCAAGCATGTAACAGATGGGCGTTAGTAATGGGAAATACTCCATGGCCTAGATTTCTGTCAGCATGTCTGAGTTTGGTATGGTCAGTATGTCTGCATGGTCAATGTCTTTGGAAGATGATCTGTATTGCCAGTTGGTTCTTGTCTTGTTAGTGAGGTTTTACAATCTGCTTTTGTTGGGAAGCATGGTGTAGATGCATTTCCACTGAATAGTTTGACTTAGTCAAAATTAGGGGCACAGTTACCTTGCCACCGAAGATACTTGGTTCTGTATCTTTTTTTTTTTCTCTTGAGAGGTTCTGCAATCAACTAGATCAGGTTCTGAGCAACCAGACCTAGGTGAAGATGTCCCTGCTCTTGCAGGGGGGTTGGACTTCATCTAGTATTGAAGGTCCCTCCCAACCCAAACTATTCTGATTCATTTTGTAATTCACTGTGCTCTGCTTTATTAAACTAATACTCACCATTCTTTCTTACATTTAGAGATAATTAGAAAAGTGAATTCTCTAAACTTTGTCTCTAGTTCAGAGAAGTTTTACTGTATTTCAGAGTGGGATATATAGATGTGAAATGGCATCAGAGTTCTCTTAAGTTCTAGTCTCTGTGTTTAGGTTCAGGAGGAATCTGTTTAATAGTTGAAGAATAGTTGTAGATAGCACTTCAGCTACAGTTACATAGGCTCATGTGTTGTTTCTTTAAAAGAGGTAATTTGCTTGTTTCCAAAGCATTGAAGCTGGACTGCTATATTCTGCTTTCAGACCTGTCCATACTTACTTCTATTTCTGTCTGTAAGAAAGAAGTATAAAAATCTAATAGATGGTATATTAAGATGTCGTGGTCATTGTTCCATGTTTATGT